TAATACTTTTCTGAATTAGTGAGTAGAACCGCTTCAAATAATTTCTCATCTAGTATCTAGAAAACGCAAAAAAAAAAAAATGCTTTGAGCTAAAAATTTTACATTTCCAGAAACGCAGAAACGCAATTTTACATTCTCGAACGCTTGGCTCCAATACGGCTCCAAATTTTTCAATGAAAATAATATAAGAATAGATTTCACTCTTCAATAATATTAAAGTAATGCTTCAATTTTGGCTAGGAGGCAAAAAATTGAGAAAATATGAAAAGAGTACGTGCTTTTTGACAAAACACTATTTCATCACTATAAATATTACATGAAAGGAAATTTAACCATTTGGTTAAATACTTACACCTACAAATTTATACACTTACAAATAGTATGATCATATAATTCGGGCTTGGAGCAGATGAGCCCCAAGTATATGGACACTAAGGTTGTGGGTTCGAATCCACGTAACGGCTGGATGTTGTAAGTTGTGGTCGTGGTGTGGGGTGAGGGGTAATACGAGTCCTTCGTGTTTTACAACTAAATCCTAAAACTTCTATTATTTCTTGGCTTGACATGCAACTGTACTAGATAGTACCTGCAATCTGACGGTGTAATTGAAAAACTCGCTCTCTACATCCACTACAAGCACCGAGATGCGTCCATGGACAACTATACGACCGAGATAGTCCTTGCATAGTTTGATTTACAATACTTTGGTCCTAGAACGCACCCCAAATTAATTATTAATTCAATAGAAATATTTGCATATTATTGTATAATTTAAAAATTATAAATAATACTCAACAACAATGAGCTTGGCGGCTTGGCATTTTGTTTAGTGTGCTTGCTTTCCATGACGCAACGCGTCCCCGTGTTTGATTCCCGGTCAGGTAAGATTATAGTGTGCGTCTTCCTTGCAATTTTTTTTTTAAAAAAAATGACAATTCAATTAAAAAAAAATATTTGACATACTTTTGAATTTAAAGTTTTTGGTAATTAATATTAAAGCCTGATGATGAAAATAATATCCTTCAAACTGTTGCTATTT